AGCTTTACTTAATGAGTGAGCTATGGTTTCATTAGCAAAACTTTTAGTGATCTTGGGCAAAATTAGTTAATTCCAGCCCTGCCGATCATGATTCCCCTGTATGAGTTTAGTACGGATCTAAATCCATATTTGGATTCGAACCGGTTTTTCGGATCGAATCCGAAGCTTTAAAAATATCCCTCCGATTCGGTCCTTAGATCATTTGACCAATTTGACCAGACCAGTTTGACCAATGAATTTTTGGTTGACCAACCCTGGTTATATTATACCCGATTTATATTTGGTTGTGTTTTTTAAAAAGTTAATAAAACCGGTTCCAACCTCTACAACTAGTAGTTTGTTTGTGCAAGTAAATCGTAATGTCCGTAATTATTACTTACGGCTGTCAACCTTAATAACGAGGGCCAAGTACATATAATTACTGATAATAACAATATAATATTAAAAAATTAGTTGAATTAGTGAAATTATTTGCATAGTAACATTAATGTCTAGTCAAACCGATTCAGAGTTATGAATTCCTGATCTGGGTAAACCATTTTGCTCCGTGTTGTCTGATTTATAACATTAGTTGCCAATTTCTATTTAAAACTATATAAATTGTCAATTATACCAATGTCTTCCCACGAATATAAATAAGATGAATTATAAATATCACTTTAATGTTAAGAGCAAAATTTAAATTATATAAAGATTTTATTTCTCAAGACATGTAATCACGATGTGATGGAGTTGGAATACCTTCATCTACTTTAAGCTTATAATATCCATATGACAAAGCAATACCACTTAGTATGCCAATAACAGCACCACCGATAGTGCCAACAACGACATATTTAACATCACTTGGATATAAATTATTGGATTCTTCATACTGCAGTGCTGGTGTTGAAGAGCTGAAACCATTGGTTATCGTTGCAGTTGCAGTTACTATATTTTGGCCTTGTTGACCTTGTTGAGTTACTGTAAATGTAACCGGTGGTGATATTTCTGAGAAGCCTACAGTAAGTGATTTAACAGGAATTGCATCATAATAAAAATTCCAGCTACAATCAAATACATGACATGTTGGATAAAAGATTGTCATTGTCCCTACTGTATCAGGGGGAGGAACGAAAGGTACAGCAGTTTCTGTGATTATAACAGTTTTATAAGGTGTATTATTGGTACTATATATTAATGTATAATAACGGGTTGTCTGTTGTCGTTTTTTTAAATCTTTTCCAGTAATATTTCGAATATTGATCGACATATCGCTTATACCTCCTCTTCCTTTAAGGATTTCCATTTTTTCATCAAAAGCATTTACTTCAATAATCATCATATAAACAAATAAGAGTATTAAAACTATGAGCATTTTATTTAAATTGAAATAGCGATCCATTTCAAATGATGATTTCAAATGAGCTTTAGAGGTATAAGATAAAAAAAAAATCCATGCTCTTTGTTATATCTGAATTTATTAATTGGTGTAATTGATATTTGTCACGAATTAGAATTTTCACACAAACTTTTGCGCATGGGATTTCACGCGCTACTTTGTTATGGATACACATGAGTAGCAATATAATGTTTTGGTGATTATTACGGCTTAGTCTTTGCAGATGGTCAAAATTCTCGACAAGGTCATAATCCTGACAAGTTAGTTCGCATTAACTGTAATTCTGGTCGATATTTTGTTTCTCGGACCCAGTCTTACTATCATTATCGTTATCATGAAAATCATGAGGTTACACCTTTTTGCAAATGGCTATAAGCGTTCTTGGCAGTGCACAAAATTTCGTCATGTAACTTGTTTTTTTTCGGTAAACGAAATTTAGAAACTCCTGCAATATATTTTATATTATAAAATTTCCGGCCGCTTTAAAACTACAACTTAATTAAACGGAACCTCTGGCATTTTACGATAGAATTTTGTGCCCTGGTTCTTGGTTGATTTCTTTTATACCTTTGACATTTATTTTTTATTCTAAATACTAACTATATCATCCTCTTTTAATTTTGTGGGGTTCTTTAACTTTTTGTTCAGGTTACTGCGAATAGAAAAGTCTCCAGTAAAAAGTAAAACCAATTTCCGAGGCTGGAACGATAGCTATTGTTATACATACAAACTAATTAAAAAACGGGTTCAACTACTTTAGTAGCTTAATCACACCTGCTTTTAAATATAAGTTTTATCGTTATATTTTTTTGCCATTTCGTTAATAATCTACCTCCAGCCAACACTAAGTATAAATCAGGCCAACTCTAACCCAAATCGAGCCAATTTTGTCAACGAAATTCTATACTGTTACTATTGTAAATCGGGAGAGCGGGTAACGTTGTACAGTTTAGTTCCAATAGTTAACGTCTAATAGTCTATTTACTTATTAGGAAATGTAATATCGGTAGGATTGTATATACGATTTAGGGTCAGGTCGATGATAGTTGATCGGAAGGGGTAGTAGTTTAAGGATGATCGGGATTGATTTAATTAAGAGTGGTTTTAGTCTTAAAGATATTTTAAGAGTGATCTAAATAAATGGTTGTAATAATTAATTTTATCAATATGTGCTTAAGCGTTCTGATTAATATTTCTATAGGTCATCCTATGTAAGCGTATTACTCTTTATAAATTGTATAACTATATGATATACAGCTTCTATTTATTCAGGAAAAGGTCTATTCAGCCTCAATGCTTACTTCCTTTATGTTAAATAAGAGATCCAGTATATACTTATATACAAAGTCAATTTAGCATGATAGAGAAATGTTTATTTATTTAGCGATGTTAATGTAATTTAGTGTTAGGGAAGTTTCAGAGATTTTTAATATAAAGTATAGTGAGTTATTTATTTAGAACAGTATTGGTAACTTATTTCGTAACTAGTCCTTTTGGAAAGGTGAAAAGACCTATATTTATATAATTTTATTCGCGAAAGCGATACTAAGTATGATAAAGGCGCTGATATCTTATGAGCAGTTGCTTATTCCTTCATGAATAATCGCTATGTCTATCCTATGGTGACACTGCTCATCTTAATAATCTATAGCTTATTTGAATATACACCTTAGCCCAACTGCTCATGATAATGTTTATATGCGTAGCTACCACGGTTTTTAAACGTAAACAGGGCATGAGCAGGACGAATTATAAATAAATAACTATGTTCAGGTATAATAAAAAGATAATAATAAATAAATAATATAATTAAATAAAATAAGAATAAGAAAACTCGTGACTTGGAACAGGATATTAATCTACAATCTATCAATACGAATACGTAACAAAAATAATATTTAAGTGGTAGATCGCAGTTGAAGGGTATAAATTTCATAATAAAAATCAGTAGAAAATTACTATTACTTTCATATAATGTTGAAATGCCAAAAGTTTCTAGCATTATGTAAAAATCATATAGTTATAAAGAAGAAAATGTCAATAGCTTGCAATCTACTAAATCAATTTGAATAATTCTACTACTATTAGAACCAGAATGACTTGTTATATAATCTTTGTTAGAAACTCAAGGAAGGTTTACTTGACATGAAAAAACTTTTTATTGTAAGCTAGTTGTATTTCAACTTTATAAAAAAATTATATCAACTTCTAGTAATTTTTACTATTAAATTTATTATTTTTATACTCTTTAACTATGATTTCTCTTAATATATTTGTTGGACTAGATCATAAATTTACAAACTGGTATATTTAATGGTTATGTATTAATTTTCTAATATTATTTCTTAGACAAATTATTTAACTAACATCATGCAATGTAAAAATTCTTCAATGAAATTATAACTGTAATTAATAAAATGTTAAATTTAATATATTGTATAATGTAGATTAGGAGAAATGACCATTGAGAAGTTGAGCAATAAGATATCTGTTAATAAACAATAATTAAATATATTTGAGAAATGAATACTATTAAAACTATATATAAAATTTATCCCTTAATCTGTAAGCTTTTCCAGGCAAATTTGCCTAGAAAATTGTTAAAAATATACTTATAATCTATATTTTTTAAATTTTAAAATATTTAAATAAAATTTTATTTGATAATATTTGAAAATAAGGATTATA